CCCCCCCCCCCCCCCGGGATTTGAATGTACCCACCTGGCTAGTTTCAGTGTTTTGTGTCTGCGTTTCTGTATCGTCAACACTCAGGTGCCGCCTTATTCTAAAGTTTCTCTCTCTTCTTGCATCATTCTGTTCAACTTCATGTTGATGTGCTGATTCACTGGAAGAAAGGGTTACAAGATCAGTACTGGAATATAGAGCACATTGCTTCTTACGGGTAATATTTGTAGTAACATAAGTTGATTCAAATGGAGAGTCAGATTTTTTAGAGCTTGTATAAAATAGGCATAGGTAACTGTGAGGAACCAGCTACCTAAAAAATCTTTCTACCAATACTTAACCAACAGATAAGCAAAAGGTTACTGACAGTTGGCCATATAATACCAAACTTGTATGCAAAATATACGGCTGTAGTTTAATTTATCCTTGGTTTTAATTTTATTTTCGTTTGGTTTTTTCCCTTGTTTCATCTGCTTGAAGAGAAAAAGAAAATACAATTTAAGCTTATTAGCTAAAATTGAAGCAAAAAAAATACATAAACAACAAAAAGAGCAGGGATTGAGAAGTGAAAGTACATGACTGCTCAAGAAAAGAATCTTTCTATCCATAAAAAATAATAATGATAATAAAAGTTTACTACTTTTATGCACCGTATCTGTCAAGCAATCACTAAACATACCTTATTCCAGTGGGCCTCACCCATGCGGTCGTTCTTGTTGAATGGTCAATATAAAATGTTCTACCATTAGCATCCTGTTAAAAGATGTAAGAAAAACCTATAAAATTAAATTCTAAGAAAGACCAATATGACGTGTTAATGACAAACTTTTTGAGCCAGTCATTTTGCCTATAAGTTGTCAAATTGCATACAAAGCGCTGAACCTCCTTCGATCTTGTGTTATGAAATTAATATAATACATGTAATATTGTTCCAAGGATTCAAGCCTTCCAAGCTTTTTCCGGGGTCATGTCTACATATCCCCTTGGAGCTCTCACCAGGGGAGATCACAGATCTTAACGGGTCTATCATAATATCCCAAAAGTCTGGCTACAGCCCTCCTTAGATAATGATCAGCTTATTATGTATTTAGTTACTAACCTGGCGTTCTTCCCATCCTTCAGGGAGGGGTTCCTGGGATCTTGAAAGACGAATAGGCTCCTCAACTTCAGGGAGTGACTATGGTTTAATGAAAGGTGCAATTACACATCATCATATTGATTTTGTTCTGTACTAAGAAAAAGAATACTATAATTCTTTTCCCTGCAGGCTGAAAGGCAGCCTTAGGCGGATACTCCTCAAGCTACATGTAGCCCCTGCACCTTCCCTTTCCTGCCTTCAGTTTTAACCCATCATGTGCAGGTTATACAGTACCCAAAAAATGAAGGGACTTCCACTATATCTTTGGGAGCATGGTTTAAAACACATTGACCTTCAGATCTGTAGGTCCTGGAGTTCAAGCCTTGCCATCAGTGATCACGTTTTTTCTTTAAATAAGACATTCTTGCTAAAACCACAGACAGCCCAAGCTCAGTATGATAGTTTAATCATTAATATGCGTGGTCTCTTAATGGCTGTTAGACTTGCCTACAAGTCGAGCTCAAATTTTTCACAAACGCGAAGCGTGAGCGGTAAATTTTTTATGTTTTCTGCGGCAAAAGCGAGCGAGAGAGCGAGAGCTCGACTTGTTTTTCCTGCAAAAAATCGCCTCAAGTCATGTCATTTTGTAGCGAACTATTTGCGTCCCTGTCATGTGTGTTGTCGTCAGCTGTCAAAGTATGTCAAAACAAACAAATACTGCAAAAAATTCCGATAAGAGAAAGTAACGCAAGTTTTTATTTTCCCAATCCGCTGCGATTGATGTGCGTCATTCAAAAACGACTTTGCTTTAACTCCCTATGGGTAAAACCTTGTCCTTGTACCTGTCCTAGTCTTAGAGTCGAAAAGTCTCTAATACTTCAATAAATTCAGCACCGGTTTGTAACCTGGAGTACTTACCGGGATTTGTATTGGAGACAAAGAGTACGCTTCATCAGATGTCGGCAGAGAAGGAGCACTGGGTGATGGCTGATCAATCTGAATGGGTGGTGCTGAAGGAGCTGAATAATGGTTTTCAACAATGCTAAGGTTAAATTCTTCACCAGACTCTCTCACTCTCCTCACTTCTATAAATTAAAATAAACAGCCTGCCTTGTGTTTACTACCACTTTGCTCTATCATGCAGTTTATATTGCTCAAATCAGGCATCTCATTATTATTGGATTCTTACTGCAGAAAATTATATTATACATAAATAATGAAGTAAGGTTAGTAAACAAGTAGACTTGCAGGAGCTAAGGCAACCAAACTAGATTCATGTTAGTAATAAAAGCAAGCACAAACTATGTTAGCAGCAACATTTTTTTTCTAAGATATACAGTATGCTCTTACGGGGGGTCGATGCTTGAGAGTTTTCCTCGGGTGGAAGATATGACAATTGCAGTTTTAAATTGCCCTTGACTCTTGATTTACTACTACAAAATGTGAAACAAAAAAATAAATAACATGTCAATACACCAGCCTAAAGTGAAACAACGTACAAGGTAATGTACATATCTGTGCAGTACCAAAAGTAGAAAGAGATTTCTAGTTGGACACTGCCACGTTCAGATAAATGTCAGCAGTACATGTACATGTAAGTGTTATTATCAATTAAATTATTTTGAATAAGGCAAAGAAACTGAAGATCTATATCAAAGTATTCACAATACCTTCTGGGCTTCAAGTTATAGCATGCTGGTCGTATATATGTATTTGGTCTTTCAGTCTAAAACAAAAATTATATCACAACTGTTAAATGAAGGCAACTCAACTAAGAGATGAGATAAGATAAGACAAGAGTATTAAGGACTATTAAGCAAGGCTTTTTGCTGTAAACATATCATTGCTCAACGTTTCAGTATAGCTCGTTATTACCTATTACAGTACCGTAACTTAGGCTCATATAAGCACTGGGCTTCTACAATTTCATAAGCGGTTTTAGGAGGGCTACTGTATAAACAGGGGGCTTACAGTGTGTATCTGGGGAAGGGGGGGTTATAACTGAACACTAGAAAAAACTTTTCAAAACAAGCTACATACATGAAGCAGTGCTGATAAAAATACTCTTTGAATTTACTCACGTTTCAATACAAGTTGGAGGGGGGGGAGGGAGGCTTATAACCGATGTATTCTTGGTTTACAGGTACACGGGCCTAAGACTGGGGGGCTTAAAAGCAGTAGTTTACAATATGGACCAAAGGACTTTTTCTGCCTACGAGTAAGGGTAAGCCGACAAGTCGTTTTTCCCCAGACGTGGTAATGGCATCAATATTCAACCCTCTAATGATATCATTCTAATAACTTTTTTTGTACTAAGTCCACCATTATAGGGTGATATACCCTACCAAAGGCAGCATCTTGGAATTCTGAGGGGATGGGTGGGGAGTGAGAGTAAGGAAGGCAATGGAGGGTTGAGCATTAATTAGGAATTAGAAATGGCCAGGGTGGCATGACCTACAGAAATGAGACCAGTGGCAGGGAGCTGATATTTTGTGGAATCACCGATTCTAGGACGGTGGCAGGGTAGTGTTGAGAGCACTAACTGGCCATCTTGACTCAGTCTAGAGTACATGTTTTCATTGAGTTTATGCCCATACAAGGTGAATTCTTACAGGGTAAGTTGGGGGGGGGGGAGGGGGGGGGGTAACGTGCAGGGAGGCACTTCTGCGAAAAATGTTACAGTGCCTTCCTGGCTTCTTCAAGACATGAGTATTCTAACATGATATCTTAATGCCATCATGTTTTTTTTCTTTTTAAAAGACCATTATTCTGAAGGCTGTAACTTTATGTGAATATTTGTTAGCAGCATATGGGAATTTGACCCTCACTTTAAATTTACATTTCTCATGTAAATCAGAGTTGTTAGCATACATCTAAATTAAAGTTTCTCCAAAGATCCACATGTCATCTCATACAACACTACTTACAGGTAACTGAGAAAGTGGTAATTCCACTTCACCAAGAAAGTCATCTCTTGTCTAAAAGCAAACAATCACATAGTTCAGTAATGTAAAAAAAACAAGAGACTACTACAGCAATGCTGCACAAACATTGCTGTGGAGAGTACTTAAATTATTTTGCATTATATTAAAGAATGTGGTTTTGTGAAAATACATTGTTGGTTATCTGTAAAATAATTCAAACAGAAGATCTACTGACAATGTCTTTACAGTGCAACTATAGCAGATACAGCTGTAGTAAAATATTTAAGGTCTAAAGGATAAAAAAAACAGGGCATAAATTATAATGCACACCATAACAAAAAAAAGAGTTTCTGATAATTTTTATACTCAGTCGTAACAATATGTCTAACGTCTAACACCTGTACTTACCAGCCTATTCTCATCAAATACTTCAAATAAGATTCTGTTGTCTCTTGGGTTCACCTGTAAAATTAAAGAAAAAGAAAGAAAAAAAGGGGGAAAGAAAGGAAAAGAAATAAGGTGAAACCTTACGTCTTTTAAGTTAAAGAAAAAATTAATAACTCTTGCAGACAGACCTGTCTTATTAAATTTATTAAAACAATTGACAAGGAAATGTCAACAGATCTTTGAGTGAGTGATCTGAAGTGCATACAAAATTAAACTTGCTATTGCTTTTTTTCTTGAGGGGTTAAAAATATTAATTATAAATCAAAAATGCTAATAATTTATGATATAAACACCAATGAAATACGGTGAACTTTCGCATGAAAACATGATAACTTCACCATTTCCACACGTGAAAAGATCACCGTCGCTATGGCTACATAATAAATCGTGCCTCTTGCAGCAGAAATACAACCATGACTCAAAACTCAAGCCTTGATTATACTGTAATATGAATTTCAACAATTGTGAGGGTCAAGTTTCAAAAGAAGAAAGTAGAATTTCAGTGAAACTTTAACATTGCTTACAATGTAATAATTCTTAGAGGCCAAATTAAATATGACCTACTGTTGTCAAATCCAATGCACATCAGGCCATCTGATATTACGCGATGGTGCGATTTCGCACAATTGACCTCAAATTGCATCCGATTGCACAATTTGAGGAAAATCACATAATTTGTAAAAAAATGCTAAATTCAAATAAAGTAAATATATAAATTCTAACTTTAATCAAACATTTTCCCGAACTTAATGTTATGTAAGGTGATTTACCACTACAGAAAGCCTTGCAAGACATCTGAAACCTTTGATCGCTTTCGATCGCGGTATCTGGGCAGTCTTTTGATTTCAGAGGCAAACAGTGTGGTCAGCGGTGTAATGGCATCATGTAATATTAAACAAGTGTCCTTTTTCTTTCTTTCTATTTTCCGGGTCAAAAAAATTGGAAAAATTGGACTATTTTGTTTTAAAATAGATGTTTTATTATTCCTTTACATTCAAACTGCCTGTTGAACAACATTAAAGTGATTTTTCTCCTTTGAAACCTGGTAAAACAATGTTAATTAGCCCTGAATTTAAATTGCATAATTTATCGCATAATAGTCCTATCTTATCGCACAATTTCTGATTTTTTATCTCACCCTATCAGATGGGCTTGTACATTACCAGCAGTAGCAATCTATGTTACTTAGCCCCATACAGTAGTAAACCAAGGTTGTCATTAGGGAGCTTTTGAGCAATCACAATGGGGACAGTAACAAGAACCGCAAACAGCAATAGGTCTAGATTAGTAAAACAACAACTTTGCACGAGCAGCATGTTTTTTTTGTACATTTAGCTCCCATTATTGCACGAATGTGAAGTGAATTTTTCTAATTTCATGTTTTTAGAGGATCTGAACTAGGATACAATCCTTTAGAATGTCACTCCAGGAAAAATTTGCCAACATTTGACAAAATGAAAGGGATGGCATAAGAGCAATGAAGTTTGAGACAGCACAAACTCAATTTGCAGATGTGACTTTTTTATCCTCAACACTGGCGTGGTTGCCTGGGCCGGGGATTTCCCCTGGGTACTTCGTGAGCACAAACATTGAACCAAAAGAACCTCCTTGCCGTTCAATTCATGACAAATGTGTCAACCTTGGTAAATTATAGTACATGTTCCATCTTTGTACCCTAACTGCGTATTATCTCTAAACAATGCTCTATTCAGTAATAATTTAATCAAGTTTGATGGAGCTTATTGTACTTCTGCAGGTTGGTTTAGAGGGTTCTCAGAAAGACTATTTTGATTGTTGCAACAAAGGATAAATTGGGTAACTGACCACTGAAAATATAACATGTATAACCATTCTAGCTAAAACTCAATAATATGAATTAACTCTGTTCTTACCCTGAAGAAAAATCCTTGGTTCCATGTTGGATGCAAATCCTATACATAAATCACGACAAAATTAATTTTTAAAGTTAGTAAAAATCTGCATTATTGGCTAAATTAAATTACATTGTACACTGTATATGTACAAAACCCTCAAAGACACTACATGTGCATAATTGCCGATTTGAGAACCGAGTCTCAGACCATAAAGGATTGGTCATCTTCACTTTCACAATTGGAGCTGTTGTCAATTGCATTGCACATGTTAACGAAAAAGCTGGCTCTCTCAGAGAGCATCTTTTTCCCTGCAGTGGCAAAGAGAATGAAAGCCATTGCCATCAATGGACTCAGGGAATTTTTTTGCCACTAGGTTTTGTTTGTGTCTACTGCTGTTATAGTGACCAGCTGGACAAGTACAGCTGAGGGAACTGAAGNGTAACTGACCACTGAAAATATAACATGTATAACCATTCTAGCTAAAACTCAATAATATGAATTAACTCTGTTCTTACCCTGAAGAAAAATCCTTGGTTCCATGTTGGATGCAAATCCTATACATAAATCACGACAAAATTAATTTTTAAAGTTAGTAAAAATCTGCATTATTGGCTAAATTAAATTACATTGTACACTGTATATGTACAAAACCCTCAAAGACACTACATGTGCATAATTGCCGATTTGAGAACCGAGTCTCAGACCATAAAGGATTGGTCATCTTCACTTTCACAATTGGAGCTGTTGTCAATTGCATTGCACATGTTAACGAAAAAGCTGGCTCTCTCAGAGAGCATCTTTTTCCCTGCAGTGGCAAAGAGAATGAAAGCCATTGCCATCAATGGACTCAGGGAATTTTTTTGCCACTAGGTTTTGTTTGTGTCTACTGCTGTTATAGTGACCAGCTGGACAAGTACAGCTGAGGGAACTGAAGCCATGTTCACAGGTCTTGGCGGACAGGCTTCTTTATCAGCTCCTGCATTTCCTTCTGTCCACAATTTGAGATTTGGAAAAAAAACCATCAATTTCAGGTTGCCTTGATGCGGGATCCTATCATAATGGCGTAACCATAAATAAAGGTGAACTATCCACACGGAATTGGTCAAGCAACGAGCACGCAAACCAGTACTGCGAAAGTCAGTCAGCAGAATCCAATTTAAAGTAAATACTGCGCATTGCTTAATGAGGTTTGCTGCTAAAAATAGCATCAGGAAAAGCAACAATCGAACAGAAAAAGGCTTTCGAAGGGAAAAGGTTTGGTTTGTACTGAAACATGTCTTAGAATCAAGGACACAGAAGACACAGGGCAACAATAATAATTATTTCTTTCTGAAGGAATTGTTTATTAATAAATTTTGATTTGTCTTGGTCCATGAACCTACTTATTAAATAATATTATTTTATGCAGCAACCATCAGCCATAACATTGACTGAGCTCAGCCGAAACAAGTGTTACGGGTTGGCCCCTAATGACAGCCCTTCACGGGAAGTTTATCACACCCACAATTTTAGTCTATTCTTAAAGAAATGAGCAGGCTATAAGCCATCAAAACTATTTTGTTACACAGTAAATATAAATACAGAGGAATACATAAATTTCTTGAGTCCTTGGTTTCTCAAAACTCATGACAAAAGCTGGCTAGTTTTCTTCTGAATGTATAAATATCTACTGCTTGAATAAAACTAATAGTAGTTTATTTACCTTTTTGATAGTTTCTGTCACAACAGAATCTATTTCACCATAGTCCCTGTCACCTCTGAATAACTTTATTTTGCAGTAAGGATCGCTATTAAAAAGAGACAATAAATGATAATATTATGCATATTTCAAGTATTTCTTCGCTTCTGATTGGTTCAAAATCCTGGCTAATTCTTCAGAACCAGCCTGCGCTCACCATACTTACTTTGAAAGATGTAGTGAATAAGTTGTATTATTATTCATTCAAAATATTTCACCAATGAGGTTGTGCAGGGGCAATAGACCATTTAGTGAGCTGGGTATTATGCAATCGCTCGTAGAATAATTTTGAATGAATAATTAAATGATTATTGAATTCAGCTTTTGTATGCTGTCAAGAATTTTCCAGATCTCAGAGGATGTTACACACCGATGCCAATAACATCTTCCTTAATCTGCACATTCTTCACATCCTTCACAGTCTCATTCAATAATTGGTAAGTAACAGATAAAATTAATTTTAAAATCAATTTTATGGTATAATGCCCAATATAAAATCACAACCTCATTTTCACAACACAATGCCGTACTAATAATCCAATGGCGGTGGCCTGACAGCCTAGTGGCGTGAATTATTTATATGCATGCAGTAGTGCTCAGCAGGAACAGAGTAAAAACAGGAAATATATTAGCAGAAATATTAATACTAATGTTGATATTGATAAAGCATCAAGGAACTTAAACCACAAAAGGAGAGTTTACATGTAGTTTCACTCTGTCATGTAGTTTTACTCTTAAGTGATTTTTACCCCCTCCCCACCCTTGCCAAGTTTTGACAAATTCAGTGCGTGAGATTATTTCCTCTATTTGTTGGAGTTCAGTGATAAACTTAACTTGCTTGATCAAATTTGCAGAGTGAACATGATAAGAGCAAACGTTGAAAAACGGAAAAATGATACCCTCCATACGTACACGTCTGGATTTAAAGTTCTGATTGATATGAGCAACGTTTAGTATCATTACTCTAACTGGCAAGCAAACGTTTATCATTATTTTATAACGCACCAAGAGTGCCAAATTCATGGTCAATTTAAGCTTAAGTTTAAAGATTCGTATCAGTGACATTTCACGCATTTCTTGCGCCGCAACAGTGATCATATTAAACTTGCATGGTGATAAAATATTAACTTCAAGTGACATGTACAATCATATATTAAAGCGCTTTACGCTTTTAATATCCCTGCCCAAATAAAAAAACAAACCCAAATAGCGAAATCATCGAAAGCACTGCTCTATATCATACCTCAGTCCAAAAATGTCCTTCTTGGCTAGATCAATAGCTTCTATAACGACTACCCGCACAATTTTGAGGTGTGAATTCTACAATGAAATACACAAACAGGATGGCTTCAACACTGGTCGATGCTCATTGCAATCAAAACCTGGGCAAATTGTCGAAGTTAAAATGTAAAATTTCACCGTACGATTCAAGGTGGAAATGAACAAAAAAGACTCACCCGTGAAGGTTTAAGACCATGAACAGCCGAGGCACCTCTCGGAGGAGAATCCATGGATCTCACAACGACAGAAAAACACAACGCCGCACTAATAATCCAATGTGTAATAGACGGCCATCTTTATCGACTCTTACGCTAGTTCCAGTCATTCCGCGATACTCCAATCGAGGCGGACTGCCTGACTGCGGAGGCGTACCGGAGGCGGTTGACATTCGCTTTGTCTGCAGTTTTTTAATGCTTGTGATGTCAGATTCTATTTAGTACATGTCACGTAGGATTAGTTAATGCCGTATTGAATGTCCTTTAGAGTTATTTTACTTAACCTGTGAAACAGGTAGTAGAATACTACTCACTATTTTGTACTAATAGGTCTAATAGGCCACTTGCACTAAGAGGTCACATAACCGAATGGCTGCTGCCAAAAATCGAGAGAACACATAAAAATTATCTCACACCCGAAATTTGAGAAGAAACGCATTTAAGGGAGATAGTTTATGGCACTTTGATTTTTCAACAAAAAATTTGGCCGCCATGGTGGAGGGCATACTCTTGCCCTCCAACATGGCGGCCAAAACTACTTTGCTTGTATCTTGTTAAACGTTTGATAGTTCAGCTGATAGTTACCCTCAGATGTGCTGTAAACGTTACCACATCATCTTTTCAACATTTTCTTTGAAGTCTAAGTGTAAAATTTCAGAAATTTGTGTTCAGAAAGAGGTAATTCATAATTTTTAAATCCCATTTTGGTCAAGAGACCAGCTGCGAACTTACCCATTCAAATCAAAATCTCTATTGAAAAAATCAAATTACTATTATTTTGTTTAAGAAATGACCCACTACTCGTTTTTCGAAGACAAAATCATATAACTTTCATTTCTATAAAAATGATGTCACATGCAAATGGCCTATTCCATTGTCTTCTTTTGTTTATGTGGCGATTTTGAACTAGCTGTTGATAATTGTTTTACGGGTCAAGTAAATAGCTCTATCAGCTATATACCGAAATGCTTATTAGTATTCGCTACCCTGCGAACAGGTGTCCCCATCCAACAGAAATACGCTGACTCGGCGCTCGAGGTTATTAAAATTGTTATTAGGGATAGGTAATAGCATGATGTGTAGTGATATTTAGCATAAATTGTAATTATTGATTAAGTTTATTGAGTGACAGGCGTTCGAAAGGGAAGAGAAAGGGGATTTGCACTTATACCTATTAAAAGGAACTTAAATATTTGGCTCCCGGCCGGCAACACTTATCTGCAAATGAATTTAGAATAGTAGGAGGAGTCAGATTACGTTTCGGTTTCAATTTTTTATCCCCTACCCCAGGAACCGGAAGGAGAGTTTTTGCAAAGGAGTGTACTAAGTTTTTTCTTTAAAATCTGCTATCTTTAGTAGGTGTGAATAAAAAACAGGAACGTCCCCAAGGGTAAACTCTGAAAATTTCAATAGTAGATTCTCCATTGTATCCTGCGGTGCTTCTATTCTGCCCCTTGCCCCCCTCCCCCAAAAATCCCGTTAGGGTTATTCATCACTGAAATTCATCCTGGGAAACTGAACAGATGAAGTTTGTAACAAGTACAGTATCTCAGGGGAATACGTTAACAGGTTTCACAGCAAACAGCCCATCCAGTTAACCCTCACTACTGAAAAAGAGCACTAGCGTTGCTAAACTACCCTGGGTTATCTTAATCCAGCTTTGAACAACCCGGCCAAGATCGAATAGAGGGTTAAGTCGTTCATTTGCATCTTGTTAAATTGTAATTTTGGTAACAGATGTACTAGATCAGAAAACCCTTTCAATCTTCATTTGCTCAAGAGGCGTTAAATATCCATAGTATATGTTTTACATTGTTTTGTTTTAGGGACATTGCATCTTTGAGGCATTATGGCCAATGACCGTTATTACTACCCCGCCGATGCATGCATACATGGCATCCATTTCTATGCCATACATTTGAATAATTAGTCGCCTCTGTTTCTGAACCCGACCTTATTTTTGCTAAAGTAAGAGAACTCTCCAATGTGCTTAAAATGAAGTTTGATATTTATTTTCAAAAATCTGATCTATACATTTCGTAATGTAGCATTGTAGTTGTAAAATATTGTTATGTCAAAATTAAAACGCTGTTACAAACAAAACTGATGAAATAAGATTTAGACTACCAAGTCTCAAACTCAAGTAGATTAAGGCCTGGTTCTTTACAAATTCCTCAGAATTTTAAAGGGGGGGGGTCTAATGTAAAGTTTTTTAAAGATATCCCAGGTCTAATAAATTAAGGCTAATGATAACTACGAAATCTTCAACTTTCATTTTAAAAATTTTTTATAACTACATCACGTGACCAGCCACGCCCTGTTTTATCGAGAAATCCTTTGGGTCGAAATGCCCAATATGTAGAAAGCAAACCGTTTTCCTTTTGTAGGTCCAAACAGTGGTTACTGATAGTCTTCTTGTAAAAACGGATGGAATGAAACGAAGTCATTTAACGTCTTTCTCCTAACGAAAATTTTATTAAGAGGAGGACTGGCACTAGTCAATGAACACCAATTGCACCTACAAATTGTAAAGATTCCAACCATTCCAGGCTGATTTCGTAGACACTTTGTAGGGTCAAAGTTTTGATACAGAGAAACTGGAGTTACACGTTTAGGAAGTGGTGGGCATCGTTAATTGAAATTTATGAACAGAAGAGGGCGTGGTCGATCACGTGACGAGGTAATTTGGATTTTTTTTTCAAGTTTTTGTTAAGGTTAGTTTACTTTACCACCTGTTTTTCAAGGAGGATGTCTTTAACAATAGTTTTTGGAAAATTTGCATAAAAATCGCAAATCACGTAGAACCAGGCCTTAATCTACTTGAGAATCATTATATCATGCAAATAAAAAGACTACGAGGATAGTGTGCATCACGGTTTTCAAACAAAATATTTTCCACTGAGTTATTTCATCGTCATATGGTTATTCCTCTTTTAGAGGATTTAACATGGCCGAGAAAAAAGGGCTTGGTGAGCTTTGAGAATATGGGACCAAACTTGAGAGTTCCCTTCTTGAGGTACTGAAGGCAGACAGGCCCCTTGTACTGTCACGGAAGTTGTATGATAGGTTAAGGAGGAAGATATTCAGTTAAAAGGTAAAACCCTTCTCTTTGATTTAAACAGATAAAAGTGGCAATAAAAAATCATCCTAAATTGTAGCCAACGTTGCAAAACGTACTTAGCTTAGCGATGATCAAGAAAGTCACCTAAGTGTAGGCCGGCTTTCATTTGTTTTAATTTAGTTATATGAACATGATAGCTAATAATAAGGTTTCTCAAGATTGTTACAGTCCGCTGACAAGTATAAAGTAAATTTTTTTGCCCAAAAGGATATGATATCACAATCTTCATCCTCTGTTGCTTTGCGTGATGTTCCCCTTGTTGCAACAGCATATGAGGGTATACTAAATGGCCCCGCCAGCAACTGTGGTGTCTAAAATGTAAAAAAATAAAAAAATAAATACTTTGAAACTTGTATAAATGCTTTCTATGGGGTAGTTTTTTTAGCCACAATTCAATCTTTCCTCCTCTATTCTGAAGACACGTGATTTTCCTTGAAACTCCAGCGGAAATAGTTGTTTAAAATCTTATTGACCGCACAAAAAACAACAACAACGTAACAACACTCAACCATGTACAATTCTTATCCATACATCGACTACAGTACGCATTAAATCAAGGAAATGATGTAAAAATAGTCCGAAAACTCAGCGAAACCTTTCACTGAGGATCATTGAGAACCCCCCTGTTCCACTTAGTTTAAGAAATTTTGGTGTCGTTTCTTAAAGTGCACATGTGTCTAACGCACCTGTTGGTAATCCATAAACCAATCAGACGTTGTGGGTTTGCTATTGATTAAAGTTGGTAATTGGCAGAGTGTCCATTCAGTTTCTGAATGTTCACTTTGAAGCTCAACTTCTGTATTGTCTAACTTTGGAGTGCATGGAACACACTGTGGTCCAGTACTTCCAAGAGGAAAAGGTTCTTCATCAACTGCGAGGGATGGGGAGATGATTTTATCTCTTGGATAAGAAGGAAGCCTTGAGAAAATAAATAAATAATAATAAAAAGCGAAACATTGAAAAAAGCAAGGATGTTTAAGGAAATCACAACCATGCTGGGTGTAATTTGAAATGGTCCTATAAAAACACAAAGAAACTGCCGCAAACTGTTTATTTGAATTCCTCTAATAAAACTTACTGATCGACGGTATTGTATTGCGAGAGACAAGGGTATAACAAGAAAACATCCTTATTGGGGAACCCGCTTAGATCTGCCTCTGAAATGACGACTTTTGTATTTTCTACAGTCGGACCCCCGTAAGCGATCAACCAGAGCGTGAAGATTTGAACTGCAGGAGGTCTTTCGCGAGGAGAATTGCGGACACATCTACTTTTTGGAGAGAATGTCGGTATTGCATACAGTTTAGTAGGTTACAATAAATTTATATGTAAATCCATATTGTTTCTAAAAGTTCTTCTCATACTCTTGAGCGGCGTAGAACATGCAGTGATCAGACCATATTATCATTTGATCGCTAAGAAGAGGTTAAAAACAATGGAAAATTCTATAACCGGCATCCTGAAAAGTCGCCGCGGTTGCCTGTACGAAAAGTGCTCGTTTGCTTGAGTTTCCAACGATAAGGCTTTGATCGGGAAAATATTTTTTATTTTGGATAAGTGGTCGCTTATGAGAGGTGGTAGCTTAGGCGAGGTAGTCGCACATGAAGGTTCGACTACATTTAGTTCACAAAGAATTAAGTGATCACTTACCAGTTAAATTCGGCGTGTTTTCTTTTTAGCTGTGCAACGTGAGCTGTCACATCAAACCCATATTGATTTTGACGTAAGGAGTTCGCCCTTTTAAGGCGTTTTTGCTTTCTTTTCTTCAGCTTAGAAGGGTGTGGCAGACTTCCCATGGAACATGCAGATTTTATATCCTTCTGAGCATCATTGTTAAGTCCAGAACTTCTTGTTACAACTTTGCTGCAAACCTAAATGCCAAAAGACAAATCTTTTCTTCACAGAAGCAGGGGCTTTTCAGAAGTGCCGTAAAATTCCGAAAATAAGCCCCGGGGCTTCTATTTTTCAAAGGTCCCTTTTGAGGGGCTTATTTTTGGAGGGGCCAATATTCGGAGGGGCTTATGTACGGAGGGAAATTTGCGTTTCAAAATCGATTAGGCTAGCTTGTAGTGGCAAGGAAATTTACCATTTTCGCTTTCTTTTACTTTGTATTCGAGGGCAAATTCCAAGTACAAGCCCCCGGGGGGCTTATATTCGGAGGGGCGATTTAACGGAGGGTTTTTTGCGTTACGATTTTGGGGGGCTTATATTTGGAGGGGCTTATACATGGAGGAGCTTATTTTCGGAATTTTACAGTATTACACTGGCCGGGTTAGCCAAGTTGACCAAAAAAGATCTTGAATTTCCTTTTGATGATGAATACAAACCTGAAATATCTTTTAAGTTTTCAATCACCTACCGAAGTTCTATATTTGGTGTCTGAATGCCTAGCAGACTTTTTTCACAAGTAGAAAGAATAAGGAAAGATTTAAAATAGACCTCGTTCATGATGGCGGCCTGACCTCGTTAGCATGTGCAAAATACAAAAAAAAAACCGTTCTTTAAAACGAGGTCAGAAAGAGGTCTATGAATTTAATTTCTTATGTCAAAGGTAGCCCACACATTCATTTAGTTCAATTATTTTGCTTTTACCCCAACAGCAGCAACAGCAGATGGCAGATGGTGTTTTGCTCTTCCTGTATATTCACTGACACTGGAGAAATAACATAATAAAAAGATTTTTAAAAAGTCGAATGGGACTATTACTTCTAGCTTTAAAAAGTTTACTTATCAAAAATTGTTTTGTAAACAGGCTTATTAAGTTTAAGTCTTAAGCTAACTAAAACGAAATAAAGAGAAAAAAAAAACTGCTCACCATATTTTGGAGCTGGGCTCTTCGGTAGATTTCCAAAGCAAATTTTCGTTTTGATTATCATTGTTCTGTGATTTTTCCTGCCTCCTGACGGTTTGCGAACTCCTTTTAGTAAAAAACGTTAAGGAGTGTTCAAGTAAAGTAAACTAAGAGACAAGCTTTTATAAGATAAACAGGCTTAGTTAAAGTTTGTTTTAAAAAGCTTTGTCGAAACTTCGCCTTACCTTGCAGACGGGATAACTAACCAGCTCTCGCCGTAACTGTCACCTTCATTCTCGGAATCATCAGCCATCCCATTTCATCAGCAAAAGTTTTTAACATAAGCGGAGATTTTCAGAAACCATTCATTGTTTTGTTTTTAAATTATCGTAAGTTCGTTTTTTAAACGAGCAGTTAGACGTTGAGTTAGACGCGCCCTCCCCATTTTCGCGCGCATTTTTCCCGCCTTTTTACAAATGCCGCATTCCTGCCGCTAGGCACGCAATACGTCTAGAAGGGACTTTAGGAGGTCCAACGAAAAGGAACGCTGCGCTGCTACAGGCTATTGTCAGTGTGCCTTCATTATAGTTGATATGACAACCACACTGGTATCTGTGGCCCATGACATTTGCACTAAGACTGTAAGCGTGATTTGAATCCGCGTCAATACATCCAGTATAAAGACGTTTCTTTAAATCGTTACTCCGGCGTGTCTGGTTGGCTCAGCAGGAGCCCATCACTATATAAGCTCCTGCTCAAATTAAATAAATTCTTCATAACCAGCAAGCGTTGACCAAATTTGAAAGACGTTTGCGATATCCGATAAAATGACATAAAAGCTGCCGGGTATAAACCCAGTGCACTAGCCAAACAACGTAGCATGAACAGCAAATTAAAAAATACAACTCGACAAGCATATCTGGAAATGCATTCTAAGCGGCGCCGGTTGTATCTGTTCCGTCATCCTGGAGGAACTTGAGTCTTTTCGAAATTACAAGGGCTTCAGTACAGTTTTCGGGAAAATTTTAAGTACAATTTAACGTTTTACGAAAGTAAGAATTTTTCTATTTTTCTCTCTCCGTTACTTTTTTAAATCCGAATATTCTAGGTTTCCTTTTTCTACGAGAAATAGCCCAACATTGGGGGTGATATGTGAAAAAAAAAAAGTTCAGAAAATCGTATGAAATTTATTAGACAAGCTTAGAAAATTGTACACGAATGAAACACGCAGTTAGAAATTTTTAGCTGTCCCAAACTAATCGAAAATTCTAGGCCATGTTTGCTTTTCCGAACAGATATTTTACAGAAAACAGTGGTTCCCCTATCGGCTTTTGTGGACGCCGATCTGAATTTTAAGAGTCGAGAGAGACTGGGTCCACGCATGGACTTATGGGAATTTATGGAGTTGCATAACGCCTGGTTGAAATCAGTGAAAACGTAGACAAGAGCGAGCGAGAGCCGAGCGAGAATATTAGAAGGAATCGCAGCTTAAATTTGAAATGATTCGGCTCGGACCTCTTTCCAGAACTTTGGGTAGATCTGTAAGTATGAAAAGTTAATAACAGTATCTTTGAATGGATAAGATTAGAAGCTAGTAAATAAACAGTCAGCTTACCACAACGAACAAGATCGATCCACCGTAGACCTATTTTTTAGTCAGCTTGCATAACATTGTAAAGTTGACCGACTCAAGCTCTATTTTAAGAGTCTTAGCTGCATTATTAAACGTGTATGATTTCCAAAGGGCACTGTGCTTTACCATTGGGCCATGTATTTGCTCATCAACGTCTGCGAAATAACCAGAACAATAACAGTTTTGTCAGTGCTTTTTAAATTCAGTCAGACCTCTGAAGGGACAGAACCGATTGTCCAGGCGTTGCTTTGAGAGATGTCCGTATTACAAAAAAAAAGAAAGCGTGAAGTCTGGTGTCTTTGGGATTAAGAAAACTGTCAATAACAGAAGTCTGGAACTCCTTGCCAACTCAAGTTTCGTTTTCTAGTTACTTGAGGGTTTGTTGGTCAGTTTACTTCAGGATGATTTGCTTTTGGCATATGATTGTTGATTGAATAATAAAGTATTTGTTGCATATTTTACAATGTAATTAACATGTTCAAAATATGTGAATTCTCTCTAAATGCAGGGAAACTCTTTGCGACTCTTGGTCTCAAACAGAAGTGCATCAACACTGGTAATTGCTGAACATGACAATAAAACAGTTGGTCCCATAACACTCAGTGCTATTACAGCTGCTAAAAAACTTGGTGGTGATATATCAGCATTGGTTGCAGGAACTAGCTGTGGAACAGTAAGTCATGCTACTACACTGTACCTGGTCAGCTCTGAATTGGTTGGCTGAACTCTTAAAGCCCCAATATCCACAGCAGGAACCATCACACTGAGAACCTCAGTGGAAAGTTTTCAGATACTTACCAAGTCACCCAGAGCCAGGGAAGGGCTGGGAGCAAAAAGCCTTTGACAAAAGTACAAGCAAAGACAATGCGTGCAAAATGACTTGACATCCAAAGCAGCGCTGTAAAAATACTGGGGCCCTGAAAAAACCCTAAGCCCACCCCACATACGATTAGCAACGGAGACCGCTGGCCAGCATTGTCTCGTGTTAAAAGGAGCTTTGTCATGAAATTCAGCCAAATTAGGAAATTACAAAATGCCTGTTAAATTAAGAGAAACAGAAAAATAGCCGCTTAAAAACTTTAAAGGACGGTTAAAACAACATACATGTAACAGAAACAACAGATGCCAGGGATGAGCAAAACTGAAGAAGATTGAAACGGATTGAAATTAGGATTTTTGAAAACTGTTCAGCCTAACAGTTTTTCAAAGTTGATCCCTGCTGCTTGCAACTTTAAAAATAATGCTCAGGAGACATATTTGTTTGCCTCGGATCTCTGATTTTGTCATCTACGTGTAATTTCTTTGCTTACTTTAAGTTCCATAGCAATTGAGGGCAAGTAATTCGCAAAATTAAACAAAATGAACTGGACTGCCGTGACACAGCCCCTTTAATTTAACCTCGCCTAAATTACATTTAGCCACATATAAAAATTCTCCAGACTGATCTCTATTTGCTTTAAAATGAATATTTATTTGTGGAGGGAATTTGATAAAAGATAAGAGTGTTTTCCCATGGGTGATCATTTTGGAAGTGTCATTAATAATGAGTTAATACTATTAGAAGAAAATATTACATTGGTCTTTCTTGGGACTTAAAGGGTTAAATACTGTTTAGCATGGTCTGTATTACATTATTTTATTTGGCAATACAGTAAATTATTTATGTTACATGTTATAATTTCTCTCATTCAGTTGTGTGTGCTTTGATTGTCCAATAAATATTATAGTGGGCCATATTTCATAGTATGGACTGCCAAGTTCAAAAGTTTGTTTTGGTCACAGTTTGAGACAGAAGAACGTTGTAAAGCTCTGTTTTTTTTTCATACAGTTTTGGAATAGGGGTGTTTAATGTTAAAACCCAATGGTTTTGAAGACTAAGAGCAACAATTTTTAATGCTCCTGTTTAAGACTTGATGCTCATCCTTAATCCACAGCCATTTCACTTGAAGTGAGATCTTTGATGCCCTCCCAGTCTCTGTTTACACCCAGAGAGATATATATAGCGGATACCTTGTTTTCTTGATCTGTACTGTTAGTTACAGGACTTTGCTTTTTTACCATTGGATTTATGACCTTTGCGCTTGAACCATAAATACATAAATACCAGCGGAAGAAGCCCAGTTTGTAACTTACATTTGTTATTAGTACGGAACTCAAACTAGGTTAATACGTAAGAGGTATAATAATAATAATTATCACATTGGAACTGTCTACTGCAAGAACTGATTTTCTCTGTAACATTATTAAAAATTATTTTACTATCTTGCATTTGTGATGTTCACACTAGAGTGTACATGACTGTTTGTATGTGATAACCATTCCGTCATCAGGTTGTTGAAGAACTAAGCAAAGTTGAGGGAATTAGTAAAATTCTTGTTGCTGAGCATGAAGCTTATAAAGGTTTCTTACCAGGTACTGTAACTCAGAATGTTTTTGAGGAACCATAAATTGTATTAACTAACAAAATCCCACATCTTCCTTTCATACATTTTTGTTCCACCATGTAATCTATTACATTTAATTAGTCTAGGGATTATAACCAGGAATTTCAGACTAGACAACGATATTAACCACTTGGATGTTCACTGTCAGTTGTGTATCTGTTTTAGGGGCGAGCTTAAGCCATGAGAATGCTGACATCCCAGACATCATAAATAGCAACCTTCTTGCTTGAAGGAATGCTAGAACTGTCTCACACAAAGCTGAATGCCTTTGTTTTAACTCCCACTGTACAAAATTAATTTTTTGAGTCACAGCATTTAAATACATGATTGTGCACATATGTTACAGGTCAAAATTATATTCACTAGGTTAAAACTTTTTAACCTAGTAGGGTGATTATCAATTTCCATTGTCTCCTTACCCTAATAATTTCATGAGTAATTAGGGCTAGGAGACAAAGGAAATTGAGAATCAACCTAGGTTTAAAAATTTTAACCTGAATTTAACTTTGACCTGTAACACAAAAGCTTTATTGTTTCTCATGCTTCTGCAGAGGTCCTTGCACCATTGATTGTTGGAACTCAAAATCAGTTCAACTTCTCACACATAACTGCTGGTGCTACAGCAATAGGAAAGGTACCA